CTGCCGGGCGGGTGCCAGCGTGCCCAGCCTGGCCAGAGAGCTGCAGCTCATCGATCCGGGGGTCGGGGGGGAGCTACGGGAGTAGCGGTCCAGCAGAAAGACAAGTGTAAATAGACCATTCCCTTCCAGCGTGCCCTCTCTCTAGGACGGTCCCATTCGTTCCCTTGTTGCTCTAGTATTAAGTTTACCTAATTTATTGGATGGGTGCTATCTCGTTGACTTACACCGAGGAGTTTCTCTCAGCTGCAGGAGAGCCGTGTTGCGGGACAACGCCGAGCAGCTCTTTGGTGAATTCCTGATGAGCCCCCGTGGCCGGCTCACCCGGGGCTCCTCTCTCAGCCGTTATCCCCCGTTCTTTAGGATGTTCATGGTGCTTATTAGACTCCCAGTGATTGTAAGACGTCGTTCCCCTGTACTGCGATGATAGCTGCATACAGCCGCTGTACTGAAGAGAAGTGTCATGTTTGCTGTTCTAATAAAGGACTTTTATGAGAGAAGGGCAGAGCTTCCCCGAGCATCTCTGCACCGCCACAGCCCCTGGCTTCGGTTCCCGTCTCGTCCCCCCCACTGCACATCCCTGTACTGTCCCCGTCGGGAGACGGCAGCAGAGAACGGCCAGAACTCGGTTCATGGGAGGGAGGGGGGCACGGAAGCCAGCTGAAACCCAGCGCTGTAGCAGCCCCATGAGATGACTGAGGGGCGGCGGGAGCTCGTGCCGCCGTTGTTCCCTTCCCCGGCGAGGCAGCACCACAGCACCCTCTCCCCATGACGGTGCCACAGCCGGCGAGGTGGCAGCACCCGCGGGGCAGCGGGGACGGGAACTTCTATTTTCCACCCCACAACCAGGAGACGTCCCAGGAGGGAGACGGGTCATTGCAAACCCCGTGTTACGCCTGCGGGGCTCTCGGGGAGCTAACCCAGGCACGGCCGTGAACCCCAAATCCAGCAGCCCCACATCCCACCCAGCCTTTTCCCGACCCTTTCCCTTTCCCAGCATGCTCCTGCCTCCCTTCTTCGTGTGCACGAGGGGCAGTGGCGATTTCCCATTCCCAACGTGGGTGCTGAGCTGGGACAGCGGGAGAGGGGAGGGGGCAGCTCCCGGCCCCGCTGCCCCACAGCGACACAGGGCCCGCCCGGGCTCCCCGCTCTGCCTGCAGCCATCGGCAAGGGAGTTTGGGGGGCCGAGGGATGGTCCTGGGTGCCGAGGAGCCGGGATGTAAGGAAGGAGGGATGGCATCCGGCGGGAGGGAGGAATTACCTAGGCTGGACACAGAGCAGCATCTCCCCGGGGGGACAAGCCGCTGTGTCCAGCCCAGCGCAGCCACCCCAACACCGGCCCCTGCCTGGAGACCCGTCCAGGACGAGAGATGGCGGCAAGGACCAGGAGGGGAAGAGAGAGAAAATGATAGAAATCACGAGATGTCAAGAAGTGAAAGAGCCCAGCATCGTCGTGGTGCGGTGCTGGCAACATTAAAATCCCTCGGGGGGGACTTTCTTCCAGAAATAGGGGCAAACGCTGAGGGATGCGTGGTGGTGGGGCCATTTCTGAAGGAAAGGCAAGGACGGTTCTCCCAGGGGCCTGAGAAGGGCTCGCTGTTGGGATATTAGCGCCTGCTCTGCATTTTCTGAGTGCCTCAAGAGAAGTTTACAATGTGAGGCCTCTCAGCTCATCATGGGCTTGAGTCCAGGGCTAAAGAAAAACCGCTAATGCACTGCATTAAGTGCATTTATGTCTCAGAACAATGCTTGTCCTTTCCAGAGAGGGAACGTGTCCAGGACACCAGAGATACAGGAAATTGCATCCTCCCTGCAGCATGTGGACATGAGGAAAAATTTCTTCAGTGAAAGAGTGGTGAAACATTGGAACAGGCTGCCCAGGGCAGTGGTTGAGTCCCCATCCCTGGAAGTATTTAAAAGACGTGTAGATGAGGCGCTGAGGGACATGGTTTAGTGGGCATGGTGGTGTTGGGTTGACGGTTGGACTCGATGGTCTTAGAGGTCTTTTCCAACCTCAATGATTCTATGATTCTATGTAAAACCCAGCCTAGAGGTCATGCATGGGGGGAGGGAAATACCCAGGGCTAGCGGACACCCACCGCCCGGGGACGGGCCCCGGAGGCGAGGGCAGAGCCGCTCGCCAGCTGCGTCCCCCCTCCAGCGTCCAAAAGAGCAGCGCTGGAGGTCTTCTCAGGCTGCCCAAACCCACCCAGGGCTCTGCCCCACACTTGGCAGCTCTCGGAGCACTTTGCATGGCACCTTTTGCATGGCTGCAATTTCCGCCTGCCTTGGGAGGGCAGGTCCTGGACATGAAATACCTGCTCCAGGCACTGAGCCCCTGTCTGCTCCGCGTCTGGCATTTACTGACAAGGAAACCACGTCCAAGCTTCTGCCCGGACGATAATCCTTCAATTTGCCCCGTGAAAAATCAGGAAGATGGGTCACATCCCCTCTTTTCCACATCGCACATGGTGCAGTTTGGGCTGGTTCAGGAACCAGCCCCTTCTCCAAAGGCTTTGGTGAGCCGCTGCAGGCTTTTGGCAGGACCCGGCTCAGGACCCTCGTGCTGCTCGGTCCCAGCCGGGGTGACAGTCGGGGTGGCTGGGTTAACCCCAGGAGCACGCGTGGCCCGGCCAACCCGCAGGGCAGCGGTTGGGTTGTCTTGCTCTTGGCCTGCGCGTGGTTTTGCTTTGCAGAACTGAGCGGGGAAATGCGCAGGGCTGGAAAAGCTGCGCAGGCATGGCTGGAGGAAGAGGAAGAGGTGTTGCGTTGTACGCTCAGATCAGCTATTCTTGCCCTCGGGAGGTGCCGGAGGCAGGAGGCAGGGCAGGGCAGGAGCCTGCAGGCAGGCAGGGCAGGCAGCCACGGAGCCCTGCCCGGGGAGGTGGCTGTGAAGCGCCCGGAGCCGATCAGAAGAGATCCCACGCCATTTCCAGAGGGGCTGTGGAGCAGGCAAAGTGAGGAGGCGAGGGGAGAGGAGGCAGGGCGGATGGCTGCAAGGGAGGGGGTGCAGGGGAGGAGGGTGCAGGGGAGGGGGGTGC